GGAAAAAGGTGTAATATTACATTGAAGTAATGTATATTTAATGACAGAATAAAATGTCAAAATGACATATAAAGGTAATTAATACACTAATATAGTAAAAAATTAGTATAACAGATGATGCCATTATTACTGATGGTTTTGAAAGTACCTTACCTGAAATTACAATTGAAAAAACACAAAGGCTTTCTCTAAACAATTCTTTAACCAAAAATTAGTAAAAAGTTAAAAATTTACGATATGCCCATATATGTGACAAAATATTGCTCAAGTATAGAAATTCAATAATGTGAAGTTTCATTGCAAAACTGACATAAAATTATGTTCTTACTGACAGTAAAATTGTTTATTGAAAGGAATTTATAGATGTGTACCATTGCAATTTTATGTCTTTATAGACGGAAACAGCACCAAAGTCATCACTGACTGCTCTGTCATGAAATTACCTTTTTATTTTTTATGTTACTGCCTTGTGCTTCTCTGTATTTTACATTTTCCTCATGAACATATAAAGCAATAAATGAAAAGTGATGTGAATCCTTATTTTTGCTGTTATTTTCAGATTAGGCTGCCTTGGGGGCTTTCAGTGAGCAACACAAATCCTCTTCCAGTCCATCACTAGTTAATGAGGTGTAGGAATGGAGGGTGGTTAAAAACAAGCAAGGGAAAGGGAGGCTGGCTGAGGGAGAAGATAGTAAGGGTTACATGAGGAAAGTGTTTTAAAGGGGGCTGTGTGGCTTCCCACTGCGATTCTGCAAACTGCTGTATGTTTGAGTTCCCCAAGAGAGCCCGGCTGCTTAGCAACTACCACATAAAGTCATCTTTCTCTTCTTAAAAAAAATCCAGGCTACGCATGACTTAAATGAAGATGTTCTAGTTCACTGGAGCCTGGAGAGCAATTTTCTTGTAGCTGTCTTTGGCATTTGTGCCAGGCACATCAGAAAATAGAATGAAGATGTTGTATACGCCCTGTGTGTTCATCTCCAACATGTGGCAGAGAGCAACGAAAGGAACAGCTGTTCTCCCCAGGACTTACTTCTTCTCTCCTGCAGCAGGAAGCCTTCTTAATAGAGAAAATGCCACGCAGAAGGACAGTCTTAGACTTGGTGACCCTGGCCAATTTTTCATTGTGACAGCCAAGAGTAGAGCGAGAGTGAAAGAAGAGAGGCAGGCAAAGGAGTAACACTAGGGTTTATAACAAGACAACCCACCCCGCCCAGATAATTTTCTTTCTTCACAGGGAATCATTATAGAAACTTTTTCAAAGCAAGCCCCAAATAGTGTCTTCACTGTACAATACTCATCTAACCCTATTGGCTAGATATATCCAATAGAAATATTCATGGCCCCAGAACCTTCCCAGTCTTCATATCTGCTCTGTGTGTGCATACCCACATATATTGTGTTTTTTATTTCTTATTTTCATTTATGTGTGTGGTATGCATGCATGTATGCATGTGTGCATGTTATATGTATGCATGTACATGTAGAGGTTTGAGGTTGGTGCAGAATTCATCCTTAGCTGCTCTTCTACATTGCTTGTTGAGGGAGGGTCTTTCTTTTTCTGAACTATTTTTCTATTTGAGTTTCATACATTTTTGTAATAAATTTTAATTATTTTATACCCATCCTTTTTTCTCATCCCCATTCCTTTCTCGGGAGAGTCCTTCTTCTCAATCAGGGTCCTTCTTGTTTGCATGTCTGTTTAATGTGTGGCCCACTTGGTTCAATTAGGTTTTCTTACATGAGCACATATGGGAGGTATTCACGGGATCAAGGGCAACTTATCAGTGGCTTCTGGAGAAAGTGATCCTTTCAATCAGACCCATAGCTCTGCCTTCTAAAGCTGGGATTACAGGGAAGCTGCCTTCTCCACCTGGTGTGTATGTAGCAGTGATTGTGCCTGATGTTCCCTTTGGAGGGCAACATATTTCCAAGGCTGTTCTATATGATTTTAAAAGTAGTTCACAGTAATGGGTAGTCAGTGTCTCTACTTTCAAAATGTGCAAACACGAAAGAAACCCATGGAGAACTGCTTCCCAATAGTCATTTGTGTTAGCTGTATTTGGATATTAGTGTTTAAAAGTGACCTGAGGGCTGGAGGGTTAGCTTAGTGAGAAAAGTTGACAAGCATGAAGACTTGAGTTCCAATCCCCAGCAGTCACACAAATGTTACACATATAGGTGTGTGCCTGTAAACCCTAGTACTGGGGAGTGGAGACAGGTCAAATCTAGGAGTTCACTGGTCAGATGTTCTACCTCAATGGCAAGCTCTAGGGTCAGTGAGATATCTTACTTCAATAAGTAAAGTGGAGAGCTAAAGGGAAGGTACCTAAAAATCAGACTCTGGTCTCCATATTCATAGGTGAGTGTGTCTACATACATATGCACATACTTGTACACATATGCACACCATACACACACACACACACACACACACACACACACACACACACACACACACACCCCACTGGTCACAAAGAAGTTAGTGAACATCATTTTTTAAAAATGAATGTTGAGGGCTGGCATATGGCTGGCAGAATTTTTACCTAGTGTCCATGAGGCCCTGTCATCAGTCACCACTACCACAAAATCCAAACCTAAACCCAGTGAAAATTGAAGTGGGTTGCTTTTAAAGAACCTTATAAAATTTCCAGATTCCTGCACATTTTCCATGTTACTTATTTCTGTTTCATCTTCTCTGCTACTTGGGGCTTGTGTAGTAACACACAGATAAACAGATTTCAGTTAGGAAAGGGGAAAAGAAACAATGGGTTTCTCTACCAGTATCACTGAAGCACTTAGCAAGTCAACCTTCTCTCCAGGAGTTTGCACATGGGCCTGGTGCTCTTGGCTGGGCATTGGCAGGATTGTCAGTGAGAAAATATGAATACCCAATAGCTAGTCTGTTAAATCAGCAGCATCTCCTATGTGTAAATCACCTAATACTGAAATAAAAGCAGACAAAGGAAAGTTTCATGGATTTTCTTAAGAAATGTATTCATTCAACTGGAGTTCCTTACTTGCAACAAGATTAATCAAGAATGTAATGCTGAAATTTGCCACACACAAATTTCATGAAGGGACATTTAGCATTTACTCTGCCTTATTATAGATGATCTTGGTAAAATCTTTTAAAAATATATTCCAGGATTAATCAATGGTGACTGTACTGGCAGATATCCTTAGACATGGGATTTGGATGTTCCTTCAGATGCATAGTTCGTGAGATTAGTGAAGCTGGTAATCTTTATTAAGTACCCAAGTTTGAGTAAAAATACTGTCAATGTAAATTCCATCCATCTTTATCAGTCAACATGGACCATGGGTCACAATGCTGCTTAAGAAAAGGAGAATAACCGGCTTGGTCCAAGGCCATAAGTGCCATTACATAATTATACTGAAAGTGTCTGACATTACAAGGTGAGACTATGCAACATTTATTTCTTATGCTCAAGGCACTGTGTACTATGAGTGTGTATTCTGTCCTTACTGAGGTGAGTAGAACATAGTAAGAGCTAAAAGAAAGAGGGAGAACAAGGCGATGGCAGGGACAGTTCAAAGCATAGCTATTTATTCGCTAGTCATTAATTTAGGTTTCTTGTGTCTTAATGATTAAGAAAGAAAGAAAGGACTAATCTTTCAGAACTCACAAAACTGACATATGTAAAATGTATAACATAGTGTTCAACATCCAGTGTCTTGTGTCAGCATTAACTTTAGCCCTTAAAATTACTGGACTGATATTCAGCAGTCTTCAAATAGACCTGAAATGTTGCACATGAGGTACTCTTAGCAACAAAGGTTAGTTCTAGAAATCAGAAGGAGTTCTGGTCTTGATCATGAATCAACCAGGAAATGCTAGTGTTGTATCTCAGAATAGTTAGCCTTATAGCTTAGAAAATGATTTTATATAGGTGGTGTCCTCAGCACTAGGGCACTGATGTCAGTTTGTTGAGAGCCACCAATAGCCTTGGCAATAACCTGAGATGTTTGAGAATTCCAGAAAAGAGAAATATTAGTATGGGTTGGTACAATTGGAAGAGGCCCCATGGAGGAGCTGACATTTACTATAGGGCTAAAGAAATGATGACAATTTGATTAAGTGGAAGCCTCTGGTTCAACTGTACTGTGTATGCCTTCTTGTTCCTGCTTGACTGGTCATATATTCCCACTTCACTAGTGATGTGCCTTACAACACATTTGCTTCCTTTCCAGATGAAGCTGCTTAATCTAAGATTTAAATCATTTTCATCCATAATGGACAGATATAAATATAAACATGTTTGTGTACATTTGATGATAGCAAAAGTGTTTAGGAAGGAGTTAAATGCTCTGTCTATACAATTCCAGCCAAAAATGTCTACCGTGTGTTCCTAGTTTAGAATTTGCTGCCCACAAAATGTCCTTTAAATATGAATTTATTTGATGTTAACATGTTTGATTAAATTTATTGCATTTCATAAATATTTATTGAGTACTTGGTGTATGCCAGAATCTTTCTTAGATGCATCAGGCACTGTCCTGTCACAAAGGAACTTGCTGTTTTGGAAGTTATATAGAGCCTTATAAACAATGACAGTTAGGTTTGAAACATATGAGAATTGGCTATAGCAGACCTGGGCAGCCTACCCAGAATATGCTTTTTGAACTGAGCTTTTTAAGAACATAGAGAATGCTATAAATAGGAAGACACAAGGACATTCCAGTGGTGGAGAAAACAGCAAATATCTTAAGTCAAGGACCTTCTTGTGATAACAGAATTCTCTGAGCAGGTTCAAGTATAAATGCTTAATATGAAGAGAACAGAAACGGATGCTGGTGGGATGGCAAAGGGAAAGATGGAGAATGATGAGGCAGAGAAGTGGTAGGGTATTAAATGCCAATGTTTTTTCTTTGCACAAAGATGTAAAAAAATGCCCCATTAGTTGTGATGAGCCTGAGACTAGTAAACTGGTCTAGCATTTTTCTAGCATTGCTGTAACAAAGTTTCATAGACTTACTGACTTAAACAACAGAAAGGTGTTTCCTCACAGTTCAAGAGGCTATCAATCCAAGACCAAAGTGTTGACAAAGTAGGTCTCTCTTCAGATCATCACCTGTGGATAGCCTTCATCTTTCTCAGCCTTGATTATCTATGTTCACATTTCTTTTTCCTGAAAAGATATAAGTTATAATGGATTAAGGTCTACCATAATGACTTCATCAAAACAAAATTCTATCTTTGAAGGCATATCTAAATATACATGTAAGCAAATTACAGAGGTTAGAATGGCAATACTCCATGAGAAGTATAAGTGAGTCTGTAATATGAAATATAGTTTATTCATGCTTATTAGAACCTGGGTCTTTGTAACTTGCCCATCAATCCAGAAGTGTATTAATAATGTTGCCTGGTGATATGGCTAAGCCTTTCACCTTCTTTCAAAGTGTCTTTCAGCCCTTCATTGAAGAGTTTTCCCTGATTAAGTGAAAACCACAGGACTCTTTTTCTATAGTTGTAAATCATGGACTGAAACTCTAACATGATGGCAGATATGAGCTCTAAAGACTTGCTTACTCCTTCATGTCTTGCAAGTCTGCACTCAAGCACAGCTTCCTTGTGAACTCACCTGGTGGGAAGATCTCATCCCTTTCCAAGAATCATTATTCTACACTTGTGCTTTTTATGGAATTTAATTCATTAAGGATCTTGAGCCTTCATAGCTCTTGAATAAACTTAAAGACATGTTGCCTCATATCTCCTATCATTTAGTAGCCACGTCACATTTTTGCACTTTTGTCCCATATTACTTGATGTGTTACACTTTTAGTATATGATAAACATGGTATAAGGTTGGATTCAGCATTGAACTGGAGATGTTGATGTCCTAGGGTCATCTTTGTAACCATGTTCTATGTTTCATCTTGTGTTAAATTTAAGTAACTCTCATCTTTTATGGAGCATGAGACCTCAGCAGGGAAACTACAGAACCCAGTTTAAATTCTGGGATGGAGATAAGTACCCTAAAGACAGTTATTTTTGATGGTGTGTATAACAGAATAGAGTTTTCCTGAATGTGGCCTGTGCAGAGATGATGGCTAATGCAAGCAGAGGCAGGCCAACAGAAAGCAGTTTTATAGGACTCAAACAAAGTTCCAACATTTTTCTACTGATACCACAGTGATTCTTGTTCTTTTAAAAAAATCAATTGAAAATAAACACAGTTCACTGTGTCCTTGCTGTTTCTCCTGAGTCACAGTGATATTCAGTCTGCGGAGGGAGGATTCCTGTTGGGGAGAGAGTGTGGGAAAGAAAATTCTCAAAGGCCTCCTCTTACCAATTCAGGTTCCTTATACCAAGTAGAAAGGGGCAGTAGTGGGGGTGAGGGGTGGATGGACCTATGTATGTTCAGCACTATTATAATGAAGAGAAATAGAATTCTTCTAAAAGCCTTATTGTAATTGCTGGTGTGTTTTTATCATTATAGTTTCCTTAGGTGCTTAATAGTGATCATCTGTTATTCTGAATTCCTGAAATTATTTGAAGATAAAACAGGGACTTACTTAAAGGAAAATAGAGAGTTAATGAACTTTGGTATAAGTGCTTGCTCTACATGCAAACATGGAAATTTTTGCTTCAGGATGCTCAATCTGCTGTTGCTGAGACCTTTAAGGCTTTGTTTCCTTAGCTTTGGTTCAGTTTTGATGACATTTTGTTTTCAGGGTAATTCCCTGGGTGGCTCCAGGGTAGGGCTAGGAGCCAAGAGTTTGTTGATCTTTCAGCCAGTGGAGAGAAACTCCAGGATTCCTCCACAGGACACACTGGGATTAGTGCAGAGTACAGACAAAACAGGATATTACTTTCTGATTTAGTTACATGTGAGAATTTCCCAGAGGGCTCTCACATTGCTTTCTCCTAAGTAATCTGCATGGCAAAGTAGCCCCAGAACATCCCCAGGACCTCTCTGCATATTAGCATGAGTGGGTGTTTCACAAATAAAAAAAAAGCTATGGAAGTTTCTGGAAGGAGCAATGATGAAAACATGTATTCATGAAACGCATTTGAGCACAGCTTTGAGTGGAATGGTGTAAATTCAGAGAGGCAAGCCATTTCTTTGACCACGGAGGAAGAAGTATTATCAGCTCATAGTAAAGGAAAATGGACCACATGGTTTCAAATACATTGCCAGGGGTTTGGGCACCATGCTTCTCTTATCCATTATGATAGACTTGGACTGTCTCAGTTACTTTATTGTTTCTGCTATAAAGCACCATGAACAAAAATGATTTAGAGAAGGGAGGGTTTATGTCAGCTCACAGTTTGAGTTTAAGGATTTTCTTAGGGAAGTTACAGTGGTCAGAGTTTGAAGCAGCTGGCCATATTGCTTCCACAGTCAAGAAAAAGTGCAACAAATATCATGCTCAACTAGCTTCCTTCCTATGCATTTTAGAACCCATGCCCATGGAAACAGTGTCACCCTCCTTTAGGGTGGGTCTTCCCATCTCCATTAACTAAAGGTGATCCCTCATAGGCCTGCCGACTGGCCAAGACAATACCTCACATGTCCCCTTTCCCAGGCAACTTAAGATCTCATCAAGTTAGGAATTGATATTGACCGATCACACAGTCTGAGCCTGATTGATTTCAGTGGTGTCCCTGATTCACAATGTTGTTGAATTTACAATGGTGCAAAAGTATTCTGTAGAAATTGTACTTTGAATTTTAAGCTTTTCCCAGGTTGCTTGGGTGTGGCATTGTCCTGCCTCACCACGCTTGGCAGTACTGCTGTGGAGTATTAAAGATATGTTAACATTTGTTTATGCTGAGGAGCATTTGCTTAAATGATGCAAAGGCCCATTGCATTCTTTTATATTGCATTTCTTTAACTCTGTAAAGCTGTGTTACTTTGGCTGTCTAAAACACCTGATTGGTCTAGTAAAGTGCTGAATGGTAAATAGCAAGGCAGGAGAAAGGATAGGCGGGCTGGCAGACAGAATAAATTAAGGAGACAAAGAGGAAAGGAGGAGCAAGAGAATAAGGAGAGGACACTAGGGGCAAACCACACAGCCACACAGTCAGCCATGGAGTAAGAGTGAAAGTAAGATACACAGAAGTAAGGAAAGGAAAAACTCCAGAGGCAAACGGTAGATGGGATAATTTAAGTTAGGGAAAACCAGCTAGAAACAAGCCAAGCTAAGGCCAGACATTCATAAGGAAGAATAAGATTCCATGTTACTTATTTGGGAGCTGGGTGGTAGACCCCCTAAGAGTAAAGAGCCAAAAAAGTAAACAGTAACAACCACCAACCACAGTGGCAGTGGAATGCAACTCAACAACCACACAGTCACAATAACTGCTGCTATTTGGTATACTGTGTACCATCATACAATCACCCCTTTATTAAAAAGCATGCTCTGCAAGGTGAGTTTCCCCAATGTAGGATAGGCGTTTTGAACACAGTTAAAGTAGGCTATATTGTTTGGCTAAATCAAGTGTATTAAGTTTATGTAGAGTATGTTCTTGTGTGTGAGTGTATATGTTGGAATATTCCTCAGCCACAGAAAGAATGATAACATTAGATTATGCTATGCTAATTGAAATAAGTACACCATCAAAACAAAACAACTGTGAGATCTGACTTATCAGTAAATAAAGATATCAAAACACAGCTCAAAAAATAGAATGGGAGGTGGTAAATTGGGTGAGCACATTTTGGGAATCTAAAGTTGAACATGTGCAGTCATGTATGCATTAGTCAATTTGATTGTAACAATCATTATCTAGGCTATATAGAGTTGTTTTATCGTACACTTTGAATATATACCATGATTAACATAATCCGAATATTTTAAGATTTAAAAAAGATATTGGATGCTAATCTGTTGACTGTAGGATAGAACTCTGGTCCTTCTTATCTTTTGAGTAGATAGCCTCCTGCTTTATCCTGGTCTCTTGTGTAACACAGGCTGCAGTCACACCATGGCTTCCATGTTATCTGAACTCTCTCCATTAATACATAGAGCTTCGATTATACAACTATTTCTAAAATGTTTTCCATCTGACAGTTTTCCTATTCTTGAGTGTTTATTCAAATTAAGCTCTTCTGAAAGGCCCTCTCTGTCTCCTTAGGCCAAAGGAGTGACACATAGTGGCCACTCAGTATGCTATAGGTGTAATTATCAAGCAAGTGGTCCTTTTCTCTCTCTGAATTCCCAGAAGCACACTGCTTGTCAGAGCCTCAGGCTCTGTTGCTCTCGTTTTCAGATTTTTTCTCCTTTACTCTCCTGCATTGTACATTATCTGCCTAGCAGAGTCTCTGAAAAACCATTTGTTATGTGAGCAATATTTACACCCAGATGTCTAGAGGTTCCAGAAGAAGTCACAAAGATGAATTATAGCAAAATAGAGACGGGATGCTGGAGAATGGAGCACCTGCTGTCTCTGAAGGATAGTGTCTACTCCCCCATGAGCAATCATTTTGTGGTAGGAAAATATAGACTAAAAATAGGAAAGAAGCTATAAGCCTGAATTTTTGTGTGAACTCTGAATTTTTAAATATTGGCAACCAATACGAATTTTTAAAACTACTGTGTGGGCCAAGAGAAATATGTCTGATGGCTGTCAGTTTTCATCTTGCTAGTGGCTCAGGTAACAGATGTGTACTGGATAGCTTTTATTTCTTGTGGGGCCAGGTGGCCCTTGTAGGACTTCTGCTGACACCCAGAAAAAGGTGCCCCTCTATACTCTGTAGAGGAAACTGCAATCATCTACATCTTTTGCCAGGAACCTTAAACTGCTGACAAGATGCTCCTTCCCAGGACTCCTGGTTTGTGTCAGAGATTGGTTTCAGTGCTATTCAAAGCTGAGAGTGGCATCCATTTCCTGCACGCGTCTATTTGGAAATCAGGACAAATCCATTTCAGGTAAGGACCATGATGAAAAATAATGTAAAGGAGACTAAGAAGAGGCCTTATCTAAGATAGCGCCAAGTTTAAGAGAGGGTTTATTGACTGTAGGAATGGGTGAGGCCTGGAGGGGAGAGTAAGGGTATATTTCTCTGTGCAAGATTTTCAACAGGATAGCTTCCACTGAAAAAGTGTGGATGCTTCCAGAACCAGAACATTGATTAGAATATCCCAAAATTCTTAAAAAACCACCTACCTTAATCATAATTATTAATGGAACATTTGAAAAAAAAACAAGAACAAGCTAAGTAGAAGGGACCATGTTAACCTTCTAAGTATTAATGCTTATAGAGTTATGCTTGGGTCCTCACATCAAGCTTTCTGTGAGTACCACTTTCTTCCCTTTGGTCTTCCAAGTATATGCATAAGTAATGATTGTAGTAAGAGCATTCTTGTTGTAGTGATGGGTCATTTGATGACAACCAATGGTCAGCTCCTTTAGGGAGCATGTCTGAAAAGAATATTCACCCCAAATGAAGTGTGATGTAAATGGATTAGTAATCATAGCAAAACAAATTCTAACTTCTCCTAACTATGACATGCCATAATTAGGAATAAATATACATGCCTGAGCACCCTCCACTAAGTAAAGATTCCATGGTTTGTTGTGCTGTGACAGCTCATTAGTTAGGGTAATTAGGCTAGGATTTCTGTCTCTAGCATTTCCCTGGCACAGTGGGAATAAAGCAAAATAGTGGCTGGAAGTAGGAGTGGGGGGCATGAAGCCCTCAGATATGTTCATGCCTGGAGGCAATTGTGGGTCTGCAACATTAATTAGAGAGGAACCCCAAATCTCAGCTATAGGGGAAAATCATGTTAATACTGACAGGTGATGAGTCATCCTCCAGTTTGAATAAAGCTCATTAATAGAAAGTGCCTGAGGGTCATTTGACATGGTTGGAAGCATGTGTGTGTGTGTGTGTGTGTGTGTATGTGTGTGTATATCTGTCTGTCTTTCTGTCTGTCTGTCTTTGTGTCTGTGTCTCTGTGTACCATTTGTCTTCAGTATCATCTCAACTGATGCTTAGCATGGTTTCAGATACTGCCTGCCCCACTTGTTGCTTGTGAATACAATCCAGTGAGAAAACAAAAGAGGCTTGGATGAGCTTCCTGAGAACAAAAATGGACATGCTATTGCTTGTTTTTCAGAATTATGAGTTCTAAAAACATGGCGGAAAAGAAATCAGTCAGCAGTGTGCCTGATCCAGAGCAGGAATTCAAGGGTGTGGCTAGAGGTACTCTAGAGGTAGCATGTTTGAAAACCTAAATGGGCTTGGGTTTTAACTGGAGTTTTGACACCCTATGGTTTGGACTCTCCTCACTTAACCCTACCCATCTGTAGAACTGTAGAATGAGTTATCCGTGAAGGATGGCTGACATCTTCAAGAGAGTGCTCACAAGGTTCCCATCACAGGATCCAAGTATGACTTCTGCCACTCGAAATACTTAAATACAACCTAAACTAACTCTCACAGCCAAACTAACACCATTCTTTCCATTCTCCTTTCTGCATCACCTTGAGTACATTTATGTAGAATTTGGTCTGGCTAGCTATTCGTTACTCTGGAAAGTATCTAGATAATTAACTTGTGGAAAGATTTACTTTATGGTTTCTGTGGTCACTGTTGTTACCCTGTCAGCAATGTCTCTAATGTTTATAAATTCTGAGGAATAAGCAATACTATGTTTATTCTAAAGATCATGATGGGGAAGGTGTTGTGGAACAAATATACTTACCTCATTAACCTCACAACCTGTTTAGATCCATCAGTGGTTTTCCAAGTCTGAGGACCTAAGTTCTATTCCTGGAACCTACAGGGTAGAAGGCCTTTCCTTTTGCATATACACATACTCTCTCTCTCTCTCTCTCTCTCTCTCTCTCTCTCTCTCTCTCTGTCTCTGTCTCTGTCTCTGTCTCTCTCTCACATACACACATGTGCACTCACACAAATGCACATATTACTCATACACTGTAAAAATTATTTTAAAATGAATCTATTCACCAGAAGGACATATAGGACTCACTGTTATGGCTATGGTTTAGAAAGGGATACCGAATAAAATCAGCCAAATAAAGGTGGGTAGGGCAGACTCAGAGGGTTACAATGTTTCTGTTGTCCTCCATCATGAGTTAGTCTACAAAAGTTGCCACAAAATCCCGAGTTTGATTCTCACCTTATTACCTAACCATGATGGCTTGATTGTTTGTCCAAGCAGTTGAACTCAGCTTTCATGTTGACTGATACTACATGTCAGTTGACTCCAACTTAAGCCATAAACAGCAACATGAGTGAACTTAACCACCCCCCCCCAGAGATTCGGCTTTTATGTAGTGAAACTTTTAAAATTAGATTTATTTATATCATTTTATGTATGAGTGTTTTGTCTACATGTATGTATGAGTACCACAGATAGGCTTTGTGTCCTATGGAGGTGGTAAGAGGGCATTAGATCCCTTGGAACTAGAGTTAAGGATGGTTGTAAACCATCATGTGGATACTGCAGATCAAGTCTGTGTCCTCTGCAAGAGCAGAAAGTACTCTTAACCACTGAATCATTTCTCTATCCCTCAGTGAAACTTTTAAAAAGTAGTAGCTTACTGTATTCATAGTGTTCCTTCCTACAATTTGAATTAAATTTAATATAAAAATATGCTTTATTTTCTGAGAAAACACAAGATTTGTAATCATGCCAATAGAGTTAAAGTAAGTCCCACGGATACCTTGATGTCATCTGCCTGACCTGGGTTGGGATCACCAATAAGCTGGGCATGGTGGTAGCAACACTCCGGGGCCTGCTACATGCACTCTGTCATGGGTCTTCTGACAAAACCCATTTGTGAGGGACACATGTGGGAGCCAAGTGCTCTGACCACAGACAACAGCTAGCACACTGCTGTCTCTTCCCTGCTCTTATGTGAGATGACTTATTTCTTCCAAACTGCTGTATCTGACAAGGAGACAGCCATAAGTAGTCCACACAGTGTTAGGGGCATAAACTAGAGAAAATATTTTAATTTGTTTTGGAAATGCAACATGGGCTAAATCACAAGCCAATCAAAACCTTTGTGTGACCTGCCTTGGAGCCACACTCTATCTGGATGCCTGTGCTTGGTGCTTCTTCCTTATTAGACCAGCATTTCTCAGAGACTTATCTACAATCTCAGAAATGAGCAAGGACATTAAACATGATAAACGCATTCCCAGGAGACCATATATCTAAGAGACTCCACAATATACAGTTCCAAATATATTTGTGATTACCTAGTGGAACTTTATTTGAACTGTGAGACTGGCTAGCAGGATGAGTTAGCCCCCTCCCCTTGTTTTTGAAATATTGCCATCCCAACTCTTGGTAAAAGGAAACTGAGACTGTGTGGGCTCGTGTGCAGATAGACTCGAGTGTGGTGTCCTGGAGAGAGGGCAGGAGTTCAAGCTCTTCTGTGCTATGAACCAGCTGTATAACTCAGAACCAGAACTTAACTCTTCTGGGTTTCCGTAGACTAATCTGAGGACAGATAATAGCACAGGTTCATGAGGGGACACAATGAATATGGAATGGGAAGAAGAAGCAGTTTGTAAATTCACAGTGCTAGCCAATCATTGACAGCACGAGGCTTCACTTGAGGAAAGCCCAAATGAGCAGGCTGTCTTGTCTGTGAGTGATTTCCCGTTTTTGCTTCCTGGCAGGACTTCCTGGTATTCCCAGAACACAAATGCCTTAGGTTATGGCCAGGAGACCCTAGAACACCACACATGTGTGTAATGTGTGCTTCTAGAAAATGGGGATTCGTTAAGGGAAAGACCCCTCACCTTCTGTGCTTATTTCTTCCACTGTTTAATAATAATGATGGTTTTGTAACAGTGTGCTAAGATGGGCTCTCCTGGGTGCAAAGATTCCAGTAGAGGGTGTTTAGGTGTTCAAAGTTGGTTGTGTAGCCTGTGTTTGGTACTCTCAGGCCGTTGCCGGTTTAGAGGGATCCAGTAAGAGGCAATGGTTGTCTGTGTTTGTAGTTGCTAGAGAGCCGTGACTCCCTACTTTACATTCCCACTTACACTTCTGCCTCTTCTGTATCCAAGAGAATCAGAGGGCATCAAAAGAAGATTCAGGCACCTTGAGCTGTGCTGGAAGAGCAGGGATGACACAGGGCTGAAGTGCATGCTGTTGCTAGATAAGTTGAGGAGGCTGAGTCAGGAGGAAGTGGGAGCTGGTTTATTCTCACTACGGACAGTACGGAACTTGACATTTTTGATACCACTGATTTAAAGAGCCACAAAATCCCAATAGGAAAACAAGTAGATGTCCCCAGGACGGAACTGGCTGAGATGCATCAATGGCTCATGTACTGCCAGCCTATTTTCTTGCCAGGGCAGTTGGAATCTAAGATCCTGCCACAAAGTACCCAGTGGGAAAATAGTTAGCAGGGAAGCTACCATGCCCCAGGGTAACTTCCTCGGTCATGCATGTATATTCAAGAGGGTGTTTCTGGTACTTTCTCTTTTCCTCCTGCTGAATCTACCTCTGACCTTTAACTTTGCATGTCAGAGATAACCTGGTGGGGAAGCACAGGGAGAAAGGTAAGGAGAGAAAAACAGCTGTTTTTCACCCTTTCAGCTGTCTGCTGGCTGGGGTAGGTGGAGACAGAACCGGGAGAATGAGATAACCTAGATATGAACATGGAAATATGTGATATTGACTTGGAAGTCACAAGCCTTCTTGTGGATGTCAGTGAATTGAAGATGCCTGAAAGTGGCAAAAAAGGTGTGACTTTAATGTTTTTGCTTACACTTAAAAAAATGTTTCAAGCCAGCCATGGTGGCATGTATGTGTAATCTCAGCACTTGGGAGTCTGTGACAAGGGACCAACCTGAACTACAAGTATCCTTACAGATCTTCTGTCATCTGTACTATACATTTATGTGAAGCATCATCATCAGAAATAAAATTAAAATATCAATTAACTCAGAAATGTTGAAGATGTTTTGTTGCGTTCAGTAGTCGAGTCTTCAGCTAAGTCTTTATGAAAATACAGCTAAAAACATCTATCTCATGACTATACATTCTTTTTTCTTTAATAAATGCTAAAATTATAGTTGCAGAGATGACTCAGCAGTTAAGAACACCAGGGATCTCACAACTGCCCAATAACTCCAGCTCCAGGAAATCTGATGTCATCTCCTGGCCTTTGTGGGCACTCATACACATACTCAGACACACATACATATGAGTTAAAATTAAAATAAATCTTTTAAAACTAGGTGATAGAATTATATGTGTACTGATTTATAATAAGTAGATTATTTGCCTTTTATACTTATTTTATATATGTATACTTAGGGTCATGAAAATTTTCTTAGACAAAATATGTGGAAACAGCTTAAGGAGCCCTCCTATATAGCAATTTATGTTTACATAACTTAATCCAAATGGACCAGTTACTTGAAAGAGCCCCTGTGATATAACTAATGAGTTTATGCATTCACAGCATTCATCTCCTTTAAAAATTATTTTAAAAAATTTTTTGAGATAATTACAAAATTTCTACCTTTCTCCTAGTAATGTCAGCAGCTCTGCCCACACAGCTTCACCAATATGAATGCCTAAACTTGAGTTGAACAAAGGCAACAACAATAAACTTGCCAGAGTGGGTGCGTGGGGAATAACAGTGAGCAGGTGACAAAGACTTCAGGATGCTTCCCAAGTGTCTTTGAACTTCACCACACTGGAGCTATCTCTTATGTTTATCAGAGGGCCAATAATGAGAGCAAAGAGTAATCATTTCGTGAGAAAATGACTTTTATTTCTGGAGCTGTTTCTCACCTGTTAATGATAATAGTGTTAAATGTGTTACAGGTTCATGGACCTTAATGTGTTTCCACAAGGCCTCTATGAATGTCTCATGTGATGCCAACTCCCATGAGACGACAGGACAGTGGCATTCTGACTTTAGAAGAAAGGGAGCTGGTGCACTGGGAAGTGATCTGCAAGCTCAGACACAAGATTAAAGGGTTGAAAAATAAACCTTTCGTGTCCTTACACATAGAATATCATACAGAGTATACTTAAACATATTTTGTTAGGGAGATTGCATTTGCCATGTGTCTTAGTGTTTCTATTGATGTGAAAAGACACCATGAGTACGGCAACTCTTGCAAATGAAAACAATTAATTGAGGGAGCTCATCTACAGTTTCAGAGGTTAAGTTCATTAGCATGGCAGAGAGCATGGTGGTATACAGGCAGATATGGTGCTGAAGTAGTCGCAGAGGTCCTATATCTTGCAGGTGACAGGAAGATGACTGAAATAACGGGTAGTATCCTGAGCATAGGAAACATCAAAGCCCGCCCCCACAATGACATAGTTCTTCCAACAAGGCCACACCCACTCCAACAAAGCCGTGCCTCCTAATAGTGCCATTCTCTATGTGCTTATTGGGGCCAATTATATTCAAACCATCACATTCCATTCCCTGGCCCCCATAAGCTTGTAACAGTATCATACAGCAAAATGCATTTAGTCCAACTTCAAAAATCCCCATAGCCTATCAGTCTCAACAATGTTTTAAAGTCAGAAGTTCAAAGTCTCTTTTGAGATTCACACACTCTCTTAACTGTAATCACCTGTAAGATTCAAAAGCAGATCACATACTTCTAGCATATAATAGCACAAGATATACATTATAATTCCAAAATGCAGGGGAGGGAGAATGGCAAGGAAATACTAGATCAAAACAAGATCAAGAACCAGCTGGGCAAACTCCAAACTCTGCATCTCCATGTCTAAGTGCTCTTCAGATCTCCATTGCTATGAAGCTTTGCTGATTTCAACACACTTCTTTCTCTTGGGCTGCTCCCACTCCCTATTAGCAGCTCTTCTTGGCAGGTACCCCAGGACTCTGGCATCTCTAACATCTTGGGTTCTCCAAGGCAATCTAGGCTTTAACTTCACAGATTCACACAACAGCCTCTTTACTAGCCCTCCATTCGGGGACACTGTTGCCTGGTCTCAGTGACTTTATTCTGTAACTCCTTTCTTCTATACCTAACTCTAAACCCAGAACCATGTGGCTGAAGCTACCAAATTCTGTTGCTTGCTGGGGATGTAACATTGCCCCATCATTCAATTCCATATTCACCAGCTTTCTGTCTTTTACTGCCTAAGCTTGGCTGTCCTGAAACTTGCTCTTTAGACCAGGCTGTCCTCAAACTCTGAGATCTGCCAGACTCTGCCTTTCCAATGCTGGGATTAACATTGAGCCTTACCACATTTGGCTTCAAGCTTTTCTTTAATTCTTTTCTACAAGTTATAAACTTAGCTGGATGGGATCTTGCTCTGAGGTCACTACTTCCTATATTTCATTTCTTTATCCATTTATCTCCTTAAACATAGGACTTAGCTCCATCCCACTTCCCGCTGCTCTTTTTCTCCTCAAAATTTACTCTGCTCAGCTTGGTCCTTTTCATTATAAATCTTTATAAACAGGAACACTAGTAACCACATGACAGAGTCTATACTAGGCTGTTTTAAGATTTTTCTCTGCCAATGGAATTAATCCAAAACTCTTCACTTTATCCTCAGGCAGACCCTTTGGACAAGGGAAAAAGGCAGCCTCTTTTTCACCAAAATATCGTAAGTACAATATCTAGGTAACATACTAAAATTCTTCTCTGAACCCACAGAGTGAGTCACCTACAGTTCAAATAATTCTTAGTACCACTATCTTCCATGTTCCTACTAGTATGTCCCATTAACCAGAGCTTAAAGCATTCCATTACTTTCCAGACCCAAAGCACCAAAGTCCAAATTCCTCCAAATGAAAAAATGTCAGACATGTCATAGCAATACCCCACCTCCTGGTACCAACTTCTGTATTAGGGTTTTTCTGTTGCTGTGAAGAGATACCATGACTATGGCAACTCTTATAAATGAAAACATTTAATTGAAGGGAGCTTTCTTAGGGTTTTAGAAGTTTAGTCCATTATCATCACAGTGGGTAGTGTGGTGGCATGCAGGCAGAGATAGTGCTGAGGAGTCGCTGAGAGTCCTACATATTTCAGGCAACTAGAAATCAGCTGATACACTGAGTGGTATCCTGAGCACTGGAAAACTCCAAACCCACCCTTACAGTGACACAGTTCCTCCAACAAGGCCATATCCACTCCAACAAAACCTCCTAATAATGCCACTCCTTATGAGTTACATTCAAATTATCACACACATTATATATATATATATATATGTATATATATACACTAATGTGTATATACATATGTATATTTATATATTATCTGTATGTATCTATGTACACATGTATATATAACTTTATAAAAGATATGTAAGATTCTTGTGTCCCAGTTTTGGGTATGCCCTTTCCATTCACCTTCTAGATTTAAAAGTGTACTATAATGTGCATTCTTTCTGCCAGTCTGGTCTCTGAGCTGTGTCAATCCCAAATGAACACACAGGACACTACATTAATTATGAAGCTGTTGGCCGTTTGCTATGATTTCTTAATGGCTAGCTCTGACTTAATTATGAAGCTACAATTACTAATATATAGCTTTATAAGGCCTTATCTTTCTGAGGATGCCATCCTGATGTGTCCTATCCTCCCAGAATCACGTGGTGACTCTCTACTCTAGACTACATTTTCCAGACTCCTCCTTGACTCCTAGTCCCACCTATCTTGCTTCCTATTGGCCAACAGTGCTTTATTTATCAACCAGTAAGAAACACATACATAGGACTTCCCCCATCAGTTTCCAGAGTAGTCAACAACTGAGATAGAGAGAAAGCTGTAGCTAAGTTAGTGAAGCTCAGGTCAGTTACACAGTTTTATGGTGAATAGCTGCAGGAATTTTCTCAAGAAAGAGGTTAAGTGTGGAAGTGTTGAGAGCCAGTGGCACATGAAAGGTATAATCAAATGTGTGTAATGTAGGTGGATATGGCAGTCTGCTCTGAGTTTGATCTCACAGAATCAAATCATATCCATAGTCACACAACAAGTAGTAAGAACTACCATCTCTGATAAGACATCCCTGGCTTCTGGGATATCCATGGTTCACATTAACAGTGTTACACTCTGGGGAAAAGAGTATTTTAGGAAGTGTATCATCTAAGTGTGCAAAGTCCAAAGCCAAAAGTAATAAGGCAAAGAGAAGCATATCTCCTTTAGCAGAGCTTGACCACTTGTACAAATGGAGACAGTTTACAATGAATAGGGCTCCTTGACAGAAATGCAGCTTGTGGGAAAATGATTAGGGAAAACTAATTGGTGTTTTTAAGGTAGAGGAGTTATAGTATTTGAATAAGCACAGTGAGTAGGTATCTTAGAAGAACTCCGTGTGCTTAAAAGATTTAAATACTATATGACCCATGTCCCTTTTGAAGATGTCTATACCTGAGGATGTAGGCTCAATGCAGGAAGCCTGTGAACAATGTGAATATGTGCCTCCTGAAACTCAATAGTTTTAAAGGTTTCCAATGTCAAGAACTTTGAATTGGTAAAACATTGGCTGTTCATAGCCATGAGGGTGAATAGTAAGAAATTATGCAATAGTTCCAGTCACTGGGAGCTATAGTGAAGGGTCAGGGTTTTCTTTGAGAGGACACAAATGGACAGACAAGCTGGATTCTTATTAATGACTGCTTCATTGTTCTTTCTTCTGGGGGCAGTTCACTAGTTGAGAGTCAGTGTGTTCAGCCACATGCATCTATAAGGTCCTCTCTTATACTAGATGGATGGCTGACGCTTTCTTTGTTTCTTTCCCCTTAGATGTATTCTTGTTCTGTTTTCTGGGCTTTCTGTGTTTCATGCTGGGAGGACTGGCAGGTTAAACCCTGTCTTAGTTTGGATTTCTATTGTTATAAAATATCGTCACCAAAAGCAACTTGGAGAGGGACAGGATGGGTTTATTTCAGCTTACAGTTCCACATTGTAGTTTATCATTGAGGGAAGTCAGGGTGGGAACTCAAATAGGGTAGGAACCCTGAGACAGAAGCTGAGGCAGAGGCCATTGGAGCAGTGCTGCCTACTGGCTTGCTCACTCACGGCTTGCTCAGCCTGGTTTCTTGTAGCACCCAGGACCCCAGCCTAAGGATGGCACCACCATTGGGAGGGGAGCCCTCCCATATTGATCATTAATCAAGAATATGTACCTCAGGCTTGCCTACAGACCAGTCTAGTAGAGCCATTTTCCTAACTGAAGTTTCCTCTTCCCAAACAACTCTAGCTTGTATCAGATTGATGTGAAACTAGTTAGTACAAACCCACAGTGGTCTAGTTCACACAAGAGAAAAGCTCAGTATAAGGATGGAAAGATGAGTGAAGACTTAGGTGTGGCACATTATAGGTGAGGGTAGAAAGACAGACTGGTGTTGACTACTCAATTGTCAAATGATTCAGCAACCCCAGAGTTATACCTGAGTCCTAAGCTTATAAAGCCCCATTATATGGTGAATAAAAATACAAAAGACAGAAAATGGATTTCATATGATTTTCATGGGTCTCAGAGAGTTCAGGTGACAGCAGAATTGGGAGATAGTACTCTCAGTAGTAACATTAGTGTCCCTGAAGTGGAGTGCATGTGTTTTGAGGTGGAGACTGGCCACAGATGCAGTGAGGGCATTGATGAGAACCAGTTTCTCTTCTGACATCAGGAGTAGCATCCCCTGTGGTCAGAACAGAGTATGAGGAGAGCAGAACAGAGTATGAGGAGAGCAGTCAGTCCTAGACATCTGTCAACCTTGGTAGAGGCGTGGTGGGTAGGGCAGGTGGGGGCCATCAACACAGTTGCTCCTGTGTCACTGGTGGCGACAAAAGTCATCAGGTATGTGCTCTAGAATGGAAGATCAAAGTGGAAGGAAGGTAAGGGCTGATATGTGCCAGCCTGAGAATGAGGTTGGGCCTTCCACAGGTATCTGAAAGGAATGTCAGGGCCTTGGCTTTCTTAAAAATCAAATGTGGGAAAATCCTAGGAATTTTGTTTTCATACTATAATCCCATTTTATGCCAGGGCAATGTGGCCTGGAAAACCCAGATGACACAACAAAGAGTGAAAGGGGCCTTCAAGTACTGACTTGGAGTACTTCTTTGGAACACCTACCACTTGATCCTGACCCTGAAGCTGTCTGGTTTTAATTGGTGGTCTCTGTCTCAGGTCAATTACAACTTGGCAGGGGAAGGCCAGGTAGCTTTCCTGGATGCACATGGTGAGCAATTCTTCTGGCTGAGTGGAAGAAAGAATCTGAGACCACTGGAAAGCAGCTGCAAGACACAGTAATTTAATTACAAACTTTGGTAACACGAAAGAAAACTCTTGGAGTCAGGAGTAGGAAAAGGGAGTCAAATCTCATAGGAGTACTTTAGCTTAAACTCTTGAGACCGTGGAGTAGAGGAGAGGTGGATGGAATCTGACAAGAGGGCAATTGAGTTAAAAAGAAAAGCAGCCACAGTTGGAGGGCAGTTGGGCAGGGAGCCAAAAAAGAGAAGGAAAAAGGGTTTGGGGAGAAAATAGGATGGTCCAGACTAGACAAAGAGCACACTACATTTATAGATTTAAACCAGGGAAGGGATGCTTAACATAATGATTAAAAACAAAAACTCACTGGCCTGAGGATGTGGTTTAGTTGGCTGAGTGCCCACTTAGCACAAACAAGGCTCTGAGTCAAGACTATAATCCCAGAACACTATAGGTAGAGGCAGGGAGATCAGAAGTACAGGGTCATCTTTGGCTATATAGAAACTCCATGAGGCCATCTCACAACCAAAGACTACCACCCCTAAACCCAACCAACAAAGCAAACAAAAACTCAGGAGAGAAATGATTGAGGATTAAATAGAATGTGGCAGGAATGAGAGAAAGAATTGATTTGAGGAATAGAGAAAGATAGGTCATTTAGCTGCAATGAGACCTCAGTAGGGAAGACATCACTGTAGAAGTTCAGAGTCCCCTTAGGAACGAGCACAGTCCTCATTACATAGTAGGCTCTTAATGAATATTGATAAATGGAAGCTTTTTCTCATGTTACATGCTTGCAGATAGCCTCAGAAATGGTATTGGCACATTACAAGCTCTTCCTTTTTCTGAATCAGTATTTTTTAAAGTATATTTTAGTTCTAAATTGTATTTTTTCTCATTTTATTATCCTTCATAGTTCTTTGATTTTTAAAAGTTATAGGTTGAGGCAGTTCAGCCTCTAAATTAAATAGGCTGAGATAGTTCAGCCTCTAAATTAAATAGATTTTCTAGTCTGTTTGAATTTCAGTGCTTATCTTGGGCCACAGAGAGAGAAGCACATCTTTACTGCTTTAGCATTTGAAATGTGTGAGGCAAAAGAAAGGATGTCAGTTGTGTTCCTCATCATTTCCTCTTGGTTAGTCACTTCCTGTTTACAGTGTAAATGAAGGTGTGAGGTGTGTAAGCAAACAGGAAGGCTCATAAAGAGGATCACAGCCAACATGATTTTCCTGTGTATTTTGTGTGCAAACTTGGTGTCTTAGTAGGCAAAGGACTAAGTCCAGCTCTCCAAACTATCCATTCCAATAAGAACATATTGGATATTAGGCCATCATGAAGGAATTGGTAATATCACAGGGACCCCTCGAGTGCAACTTGAGTTGTACAGATACATCTATTTCAGGTGATCTTTAGAATGACATTTAACTTTCCCAAATATCGGTTCCCTCATCTATCAATATAAGTAGAATAGATCAACTCTGAGGTCCTGGTTGGCTCTAGACAGCTATGATTCTCATTTCTACACAGAAATAGAAGAAATTGTGCCTTTTGTTTGTTCTTCTACTGCAGCCTTGAGCTTTATTCGGAAATTGAGTAATCTCAGTGAGAGGGCAGGAGGCATCAGGAGAGGGTTGAAGATGGAGAGTGCTTTCTATAAAGGAGAACTTTCACTCCACAACTGGAGATAAAGTACACTTATGAGGCTCTGGGTTCAATTTTTAACAATCTCCTGCCCCCCAAAATAAGTAACAAGCAAGCAAACACAAAAACTCTGTGATCTGTGTTCTGTATATTATGAGAGGAAAACACAACTATTTTCTCATGAATACACATGCATGTATATGTGTATATATACATGTGTATATTTATATTTATACATATATATTTCTTTATGTAGGAAAGGTTTTGATGAATTTTAGTAATACACTAAGCATTTGTACTAACATGAGAATGTAGATATCTCCATATATCTATTATAATGTGGTTTGTATTTAGATAATGAATCACTTGTTCATTGAGTAAATATTTGCTGAGCATCAACAACATACTAGGTAATGCAAATGGAAGGAAATTTTAGAACATCACTTATCACTGTAGAGACTGATCCCTCTTGGGTCTTCTTAGGACTGTATGCCACGTGCCTGAAGTAGTCAACTTGAAAGACAAAGAGAAGAGAGCATTTTACCCCTTATTTACTTCTCTCCATTTGTTTAGGGCTGCCTCTTGGGTGGTGATTCTTCCCTGTTTTGGGGTCACACGGGTATTTAACCAATAGTATTCTTTTAACAATCTTTCAGTGATGGCCAGCATACATATCTGAGAATTTTTGTCAATACAAAGTGAGTAGAAGCCCAAGTGCTACTGAAACAAACACAAAGTCGAGAACAGGTTAAGACCTTTAAAGAAAGGCAACAAATAGCACCCCATATGTTATAAGGTCCCCCTTTGGATCTCTTAGACTTTGTAGTAAGCCAAATCCATTGAAAACCATTTCTAGTCTCTACAATCTTGTGAGTTCGTTGAACAAGATACAAACCCCACCACTCCAGAAGGTTCCAAGGCTATTATTATCAGAATGTCTGCTCCAATCACAATCCACACTACCACCCAGCAGCTCAGTTGTGTGCAATTTGCTTGCAGAAATGACATCCTAAACCTTCATCCTAAAGTGTGACATTTCCAGTTACCTAGCCACTTTGAGGTTTGGATGCTTTTTTTGTTTATTTACCATTATTGACTGGCATAGAATTTGATTTTTATTCACCATAACGAACCTTCCAAGTTTTCTCCTACAATGCATGACAAAACTGTATGCCCTCACAGTAGTTACAATTGAATATTACCTCTATAATCTTTTTTTTGTTTATTGGGCCCCTGGCATGAGGAACCCATAGACAGTCATAACTTGGGGTCCTTAAACCTTACCTAGTAGAAGTCTCTTCTCACTCTAACTCCAATGATCCAGACATCTGCTCTGGAAACGTACAGATGTGTGAAGATAGAAAGCAGAGAAATCCATAGATGGATCTATGAGATGCTGCTTTGAATGGCCAATTTTATATTCATCCCTTTGTCTTGTAACAAGATCATTCTAGCTAGTGAATATCCAGCACTGTATGCTAACTGATAGTTAAATGTGTTTACCTTGTCTTTGGGAATATCTCCCAAATATGGCAGGGAACCATCTTAGGACCACTGTTTAAACAAGCCTTTGGTAGGCCATCATAATTCCAGACAAGCTGAATCCAGGTGATGAATATCATGGTGAAGCTCATCTCCTATGGCCATGTGTCTACTGTCACAAGTGTGAAGAAATGCTGTACAAGATCTTGTGTTGATGATTCAGGAATCCCCCAGGAGGAGCTCTGGCAGAGGTACTGAAGCAGGAGGTATAGACTCATATCTTGAGCAGGTTTATCCTTTCTATCAGGGTGAGGGACTACCTGCACCCTGTGGCTACCTGGTTTCCTCATGGGTGATAATTGTGTGATTATCAGAAGCTTATGCTTCTGTCAATTTGGATACTCACCTATGGTCATAGCTGGATCAGCCTTAGTTAAAGGAATTCTGTGCTATTGGGAATAACTTATAGAATGCATTGTAAAGCACTGGGATGACTGAGGAGAGAAAGACTGTCTAACATCCAGGCAGGTTGTCTTCTTTACTTCCTCATTGGGTATCTCTTAAAAGATGGCATTACATGAAGTAACAAAATCTGCATGCTTAGTGCTCCTTCCCAGTGACCCATGGACATACTACTCCCCTCCAAGTTCCTTGCTTCCTATCTTTCAGTCAGTCCTCTTGAAGATTCTAGTCAGCCAAAGAAGCCATTTGCCATGTTGCTCCATATCTCAGACTACTTCATGTTCCATGTCAAGTAAATGCCCACATGTATGGCTTTCAGTTCTACCCAAGAACAGGATTTCCCTTTGACACAACCTATACAGGCCATGCCCAAGTACAGCTGTGGTCAGCAGTAGTTCATCTGGACCAGTACCAATAATATAAGCTCACTGGGCACATGGTGGTAGGGTAAAAGCAGCAGATCTATCCCAGTGTTATTTTCTTATCTGCCATTGGTCACAGGGGACCCCTTTGTGAGTATAACAGAAGTAGCTGACATAGGGACATGGACTTATGTGCTTCATATTCATAGCCATACTTCTTGTACTGTCCTGGATTGATGTCAAGTCTACCACATTTTAGTGCATGGTGTTTGACTAATGAGCACAAACATCTGATACATTTCCTGATCTCCATGTTATGAAGAATGGTTCCAACCATTCCAGGGCCTGTAGCCTAGAAGAATCTGCTAGCTCTCTGACAAGGAAGGATGTCCTAGTTCTGGAACTCCAGGGTTCTGCGATGCTTCTCACAGTGACAGACACTGTAGTTAGCACCTTTTTGTATTCTGTCATCTTTAGTGTTTCCAGGCCTACTGGCTCATAGACCTAAATCCTAAGCTTATGACTCACAAGCAAACACAGCCATGAAATCAGTACCAAGTCAAGGAGTGAGATGTCATTGGCTGGCATTCAATTTTAGGAAGACTGGTCCAGAAGTATCTGGTATTCAGGAAACCAGGCAACAATGTGTTCAGCAGCAGAGCTAGAGAAGTCACAGAGGTTCTCATTGTGTGGATGCTTGGCTGAATAAACACCAAGACTGTAGTACTGGATTCTGGAGCTGTTTAATCACCAGCAAATAAATATAACCCAATTCCTCACAGAGGATTGCCTGATGGGGGAGACGTTCAGTAAGTTATTATGCCAATGAGCATAAAATTGCTTCTCTTTCTCCAGATTTCAGACTTCTAATCTGCTTTTATTTTCTTAGCCCAATTGCTTAAGGTCATGATCCAGACTTGCCTACTAATGGCTTCTTGCTGTTAATATCCAGTGTTGATCAACATAGTACAGGATACTTGGCCTCCTGTATTCTTATATAAGTTCTGGTTGCAATCTGTACATCTAACCCTTGACTACCTATTTTTCTTTAGGTTCTGGTTAACCTCAGCCTCTCTTCAGACCATTGGATTGTTGGTGGTAGATTGGGGTAGCAGGAGCAACATTATTGCAATGGCTGTCTTATGTGGGCAGACATCACTCTCAGACTTCCTAAGTTACAGACAAGGTGAGCTCTAGTTTCATGGTCCCTGCCACACCTATTTGGGTAGTGTAGTCTGAAGACTGTTTTAAAAGTTGATAAGCTGCACAAGACTTTAAATTAAATTCTTTCAAAATTTAACTTTATTTTAGCAATAAAATTCAATGTGAGATTTATCCCCTTAAGAAGCTTAAATTTTTTTATTTCTTCTTTGTTAATTTCATACATGTGCATTTAGGCCATCTCTTCACCCTTTCAATTCCTCCTTTGTTCCCATCCCCATATCCCTGTTTAGCATTTTCAAGTGTACAATAATATTAGTGGTTATCTATACAGTATTGTACAGTAGCTCTAGAACCTACTCATCTTGCTTAATTGGAAAGTTTTTACCATTGATTATAGACTCCCCTACTGCATAGTAGCCACCATTTCACTCTCTGGTTCTGTGAAGTGGAATCCTTTGGCTACTGCAATACTATGTGTCATCATGTGGCGTTTGTCTCCCTGAGGCTTGGTTATTTCACTCAGAATAATGTCATGAGATTCATCTACATTGTCACACATTACAGAGTGTTCTACCTTAAGTCCAAATGATATTTCATTGCGTGTACACAGCATGTTTTTTGATGTCTCTGTCAGTGGCTACTAAGGTTACTTCCAAGCCTTAGTTAATGTAAATAATGTCACCAGGAATATGGGAATGTTTGAGATGCTGATTTCTAGTCTCGGGTAAATTGCTACATGAACAATTTCAGAATTATATGGCTGCCATTAATTGTCCCGAAGAACCACTGTTGCTTTCCATAATAACAAAACCAGTTTATCTCCAAAAGTATTCCAGGGCCCCACTAATCCACATGCTCCGACACTCCTCTATTTATGGTGGTCATCTTGACAAGGATAAGAGGTTGTTTTGTAGTGGTTTTCATATATACTTTCCTCATAATTCTTAATCCTATAACACCTTTCATATGCCTTTTGGCTATTTGCATTACTTTAAAATTTTTTAATTAAAAAAGTTGAGATTAGAATAAAATTACATTTCTTTATTTCCTTTTATCATTCCAAGCCCTCCCATATATCTCTCCCTTCTCTCCTTCAAATTCATGATCTATTTTTTCACTAATTATTGTTTTACATGGATATGTGTCTATGTATATACATATATATTCCTAAATAAAACCTTATCAGTCCATATACTATTACTTACATGCGTGTTTTCAGGGCTAACTGTTTGACCATGGGCAACCAATTTAAGAACTTGCTTTTAAAGTCCTTATTAACTCTTTTTTGTTTGTTTGTTTGTTTGTTTGAGACAGGGTGTCTATGTGTAACAGCATTGGCTGTCCTGGAACTCACTTTGTAGACCAGGCTGGCTTTGAACTCACAGATATCCACCTGTCTGTGCCTCCCAAGTGCTGGGATTAAAGGTGTGTGCCACCACCGACCACCTAGCTCATTTTTTTATCATAATTTTTTGCTTTTATCATCACATTATAATAATTCCTTTGTATTTTTAGCAATTAACCTCTTATCAGGTGTTTATAGTTTTCAAATGTCTTCTCCCATCTCACAGTATGCTTTGTTTTATGTTTGTTTCTTTCTAAAGAAAGGCTTCAAGGGTCAGGAGACAGTTTTAGCCTTGTGTGTTAGTAAGTTAGAACCCACCACAGATCCTGATCCCTGTAAACCAGAGGTTCTTTTGTCTTCAATAGATCCTGGTCTGGAAAAAAGCCTAGAACACGCTAAATAAACAAATGGCCACTGCATGGTTTAACATCTAGCCACAAACTTCATACTGTCTTCCAGGCACTATTTGGGAGGAAGGCAGGAGAAATTAACCCCATGCCAGATAAGCAACCAATAAATATTTTATTTCATTGAAGGCACAAGGTGAAAACCATGTAAGTTACTGTGTGGGATCTAACTAACAGCAGCTAATCTTTTTGACATGTCCTTGGGACAGATTGACAAAAGTCATAGGGAAGTTTGTGCTTGTCTTCCAGGAATGAGGATATCTACTTTGTCTTAGGAAACTTCCTCAGAAGATAGAATTCAACTCACAGCAATCTCAAGGTCTATGAGGAGTCTCTAATTAATTAATTAATATTTTAAGTCTTTGTTTTAGCTATGTGATCATGGCTCAGAGAATGAAAGCAAGCCAATGACTAGTGCTAAAAATGCCTCTTTGTAGAAGCTATTCTTTGTCTTCATTTTCTTTTCTGTTTCTTGGCAGTTTTAGTTATAATTAATCAAAAAGTATTTTTCTAATAGTTATTCATTGAAATCATCAAGGTCTGAAAACAGGCCAGCAGACTAGAAGGGACATTATATTAAGAGTCTTGATTCTTTCCTTGCAGAAAGGTCAGGGAAGAGGACCAAAGACAAAGTTCTGTCAGACTTGGTCAGGATTGAAGCAATCCTCCTGACTCCATCCATACCCCTCACTCCTGACCCCTACCACAGCCCTCAATCCTGACTCCACCCACACCCATCACTCCTGACCCCACCCATAGCCCTCACTCCTGACCCCTACCACAGCCCTCACTCCTGACCCCACCCACACCTCTCACTCCTCCTGACCCCACCCCGTCTGTCCTCTTCATTTGCTGTTCTTTCTCTTTACTTTTTCTCCTCTAGACTTTCTGTCTCCTTTATCTCATACCTTCTTTTCTTCATCCTGTTCCTGTTCTTCCTAACACATTACTGGTCTAACACTGGCATTAAAGGGGAAGAAACGAAAGAATATCCCATCTTTAGAGGGGATACAATTAGTAATTGTTCTTTTGCTGTAATAAACATCAGGATAGAAAGTAACTTGGGGAAAGTTTATTTCAACTTAGTTTGTATTCCATCATTGTGGGAAGTCAGGGCAGGACTCAAGGCAGGAATCTGGATGCAGGAACTGAAGCAGAAACCATGGAGAAACCTTTCTTACTAGCTTGCTCCCCATGGCTTGCACAGCCTGCTTTCATATGCAACTCAGGTCAACCTGCCCAGGCGTGGCACCACCCACTGTGCTCTCAGCATCAATCATTAATCAAGAAAATGAACCACAGACTTGCCCACAGGCCAATCTGATGGTGGAAATTCCTCAGATGAGATTCTTCCCAGATATATCTAGGTTAATGTAAAGTTGAAAAACAAAACAAACAAAAACAGCCAGCACAGGATTGTATCCTGAAAGCTTTGGAGGTCCAAGGCTGCTGGCTGCCAGTTCAGATTCAGTTCAATTCAACCCTGAGAAGCAGAATAAGTGGGTGGAGGTTGAGAGAGCTGTTGAGCCACATTTACCCTGTAAGTGAATTCTCTGGAATGGGGAAGAAGACAGCACAGCATGGCTCCTGCAGTCTCTGCCAAGGTGCATGCTTCAGGAATTTAGGGGGAGGCTCAGTGTAGACTGATCTCTGTAAATTAAAACCCAGCTTACAGCCCAAGAAAAGCTATTTGTACCCGTTTTTGCTTCATTTAACAGCAAGAGGATAATACCCAGTATGCAAATTGAGTTCTTAGGTCTCAAATGATAATTGGAAGAGTCTCCTCCAGCATCCCAACTATTTTGGAGATGTTCATGAGAACTACTAAACTCAATATCTTTGTTTCTTTCTGGTAGATAACTCAGAAGTTGTGTTACTGTGGATAAGGAGAATAGAAGAGTAATAGGTAGTTAAATTTGGAAACTGAAGACATCATTAGATCCAAAGTTTGAGTGACCTCCAGGGATTAAGTCAACTAATTCAGCTAAATTCTTATTCTTCTAACTGGCAAATTGTAGTAGCCATCTGTAGTAGCCTTACATTGTGGGGCTAATCTGTGGTAACCCTACTTTGTGGGGCTTCAGTTGGATCCAGCCAACTTGCCCAGTTCATACCTGAGTAGGGGAGTGTGGATTGGGAAATGGCAGGTAAAGATACTAAGGAAAAGACAGAGACAGAGAATAAACTCAGGAGGGCAATCCAGTTAATACTGAATGTCCCAAGTTCATACTTCAATATTCTTATATACCCCAACCAAAAAGGGGAAAATGGCAAAAGACTTCTTTATCATGATACAAGGAAGAAACAGACTTTCTTCCTTAATTCTCCAAACATTTAGTAACCACATCTTAGACTAAATCTCTTGCTATCTGACGTTGAGGAATAAGAGTAACCACACCTTAGACCAAGTCTCTTGTTATTTAGATAAGCTATCCATGCCTAAGACCAAACATCCTATAGTAGTCATGGCTTAGACCTTTATGTCTTATGACTTTAACCTTGGAAGAGTAAGGACAGTCTTGAACTCTTTGACCTTAAGCAAAGATAAAGTGAAGCCATTTTTATGGACCCCCAACGGCAAATAAATTTACTAATGTTGCATACCTTGCCTATGTCTCAGAAGGGTCATGAGGATTTATTGAAAGAAAAGTGTTTGAACAATTAAAATTATTGCTTAGCTAGATCTGGGCATGATAAACTAAGTTGGGGTGACTAGCTAAAGTGTGAGTGACTGCCAGATGTTAGTCAAAGATTCTTTTCTTTGCATTGACTCAGTCTATGTTCAGATTTCTTCATCTCTCATCCAAATTTGACTCTGGAAGTAAGAGTTCCTGATGTTGATTTCTGTAGCATTCTGAGCTACAGTGAACAGGAAACAGGAGTCCTCTGAGTCTACTGAGCTTGTCTGTACATCTGTGCTTCCTGAAGCCTCAACCAAGTATTCTCAGTCACACTGAGAATCGTCCTGTGGTTGCCATGGCTTCCATCACATAGGATCTGCCTTCTTGCAGATATAAGTCATTGTGCTTAGTTCATTTTCATATTTTATTATTTATAACTATTTGTGTGTGGGGGGCATGGATGCCAGAAGAAAGGATCCCGTGGAATTGGAGTTACAAGCAGTTTGAGTCATCTAGTGTGGGTACTGGGAATCAAACTTGTGATTTCTGGAAAAGTTTCAAGCATTCTTAACCCTTGAGTCATCATTGCAGGCCCCATTTCATGCTTTAGGTAGTGATATGTTATTATACCTTAGCACACTTCTCCCAGTTATGACTTTTGTCTGTTGTCAAAATATAATCCCTACTCCAAATATGCATTTGTTCCCACATTAAGGGTGGGGAAATAATGTCATTGATACTATAGGGAATTCCCAAGCAGGAGCCTCTCACATATTTTTGGAACTATTCAATTTTGCAATATTTATTTTGCCTCTAGAACTTTTCCTTTACAGCCTCTGCTTCCAAAAAGATGCAAATTGGCTTACCATGATTATTTCTGTAGCTGAGATGCCAAAGTAGGAAAAATCATACCTGTGAATAAACGAATTGGGGAATAGAATACTCAAGAAACAGGTATAGTGCTCCTGAACATTCTGCTGAATTTGATCTAGAGATAAAGAGAGAAAACATTAAAGACTAAAACTCAGCCTTTAAAAAATCAATTATGAAATAATTGTCAAGAGCCTCCATGAGCATTGTCTTTCCTTCTCTACTAGCTGAGAAACTTCTAGCCATTTGCCTAAAGTCTCTGTCTCAGGGAGGCTATTCCAGGTCCCTTATCTGTCAACTATGGAGCTGGGTGGAGGAGGGAAGAAAATCCAGCTCATAAATTGTCTCTCAGAATTCAGCAAGGTGTTTATGAAGCCTAGCAGCGTGCCTTGCACATTGTAAATATGTGTTAAATAGTGCCTGTATTTCCTGGAACATTCCTCTGGGAAGGTGCCACTATCTACACTTAACAGAGAAGGCTCTGTCACTTGTCTGCATTGCTGGTGCACGGATAGTCCAGATTCTATTCCAAGGGTCACTCACAAAACTTACAGCCTCACTCCTGTACCTACAGAGCCCTTTTTTCTCTTTCTTAACAATAATAAATGTCATTATGTCCATCACAGGAAACATTTATCTGGGGCTATTTCTCACCCTCCACAAGGACTCTCAGATTTGCTTTGGACTCTAACTCAGAGAAATATTTCTGTAAGGTGTTAGATTTCCAGGGCACTAAGTTTATTCCCATAAAGAAGCCTTGTCTACACCCACCTCCCAATGCACCTGACCTTGCCTGGTCACATAAGAAACTCTGTCTTCCAACGATGGATTCTGGACCTAGTCAGGGAGGTGTTTTCTTGACAGAAACAGCCTTCTTAGACCTCCATGATGCCCTTCCCTCTATGCCCTTCTGGATGAAGTTGAAAAATATTCAGCTCATTCTGCAACAGTCCCCCAGCCCCCAGCCTGCCCCTCCCTGTTTGGGTTCTAGTTTTCACCTCCTTGGCAACAAGCTCCTCCTAGGCATTCTGGGCTCTTAGCCCACAGGATTCCAGGATGTTCCTGGCAGGCATAAGAAAGGGCCAGCCTCCCCTGGCCTGTCTCCTTGCTCTTTTACTCTGTCCACATTTTGAGCTGGATTTGGAATGTAGCCATCTAGGATTCATGGGCTCTACCTCTGCCCTGGCCCTCTGAGCTTTAGGTTCTGGAATGGTACTACAGAGGGCATAGGTGAGCTATGGTTCCAGTCTAACCCTGTTCATGTATGGCTTTCACCAGCCTCTGCTATACACTGTTGCTGCTCAGAACATCGCTTAGTTGAGAAATTGAGTTTGTAAAGCTCCTAAACTATGCCCTTCTGTTCCCATTATTTATAACTGTAAATTAAACAAGTATAATTGACTTGGCACACAAACATTCAAACCACTGTTGTTGGAGTCTCACATTATGATGTGTGAACTAGTTACTTTTCTCATGACTGAGACCAAATACAGACCAGAAGCACTTAAAGGAGATCTTTTATTCTGGCTCATTTGTGAGAGGATAATCCATCATGGCTGGGAAGATGGTAGTAGCTGCTGCTGTGGCTATGGTGGTAGGCACTTGCTCACATGTTGGTGGGTTAGGAAACAAAGAGGGTACCAAAGAGCAGGGCCTTGATAAACCTCATGCAGGACCAACCTGGCAAAGATCCCACTTACTTCAGTTTGGTCCTACCTTCTAAAGGTTCCATAACCTTCCAAACTGTTGCCATAGCTGGTGACCAAATATTCAAATGTGTGAGTATGTAGGATACATTTCACATTCAAACTATAAGTAAGTATATGTGTTTGACACAAGCTAGAATCATCTGAGAGGAGGGGACCTCAACTTAAAAAAAAATGCTTCCCGAAGATCGGGCTGTAGGCATGCCTGTAGGGCATTTGCTCAGTGATTGATGTAGGAAGGCCCATTGATTGATGGTCCTGGATTCCATAAGAGAGCAAGCTGAGAAAGCCATGAGGAGCAAGCCCATAGGCAGTACTTAGGACCAGCTCCTTCCTCCAGGTTCCCTCCTGGTTTGAGTTCCTGTCTTGGTTTCCTTCAGTGGACTGTGACTTGGGATATGTAAGCCAAACAAACACTTTGCTTTCCAAGTTGCTTTTGGTTGTGTTGTTTCATCGCAGTGATAGTGTCTCTAACTAGGACAATATATAAAACAAAGCTCATTAATAGGAAGATGGGGTTTGAAGCCTGATTTGGATGACCCCCCCACCAAGGCCAATATTCTCTTTTAATAGAACATACTAGATCTCTCTTTTCTCAGTGTTTCTGTGGACGCTGTGCTTTGCAAACTTTGCAACTTTTTCAAAGCCATTATCTGTATCTACTCAGTTCCTAGATTTAGGGAAAACAATTTTCTGGGAAACTGATAGTGAAGCATCAGCTCCAAGTACCTGGGTATCTCACCCTGTGTACAAGTATATGGTCTCTTTCTTAATCAGTCATCATGAGTGATGAAAATGGGCTCTGATGTTGATAGAAGTTCAGGCTCCTGTTTGATTTTTCCCGGCACTCTGATTCAATTGTCTGTTTTCAGCATAGATGCATGGGGACCTGGACTCACTTCATATTGAATTGAAATGTATTTTTTCTTATAAATTCAAGACAACCATGGGAAGTTGAATTTTGAACTAAAGTAAATGAGAAGGAAAAATACAATTTCCAACTTGAAATTATTTTTCAAGTCCACAGTGAGATGGATTTCCATCTTTGGCAGGTTTTATCTTATCATGTATGTAGGGTGGCAGTTCATCTCAGAGCTCATCTGAAAGTTACTATCTCTTTATTATTTTTCTCACCAGTTCCTAGGTCTCTGCTTCTCCTTTGCAGTGGCCCTGGGATTCAGTGCCTGGCAGCAGATATTAGGGCACACAGACTCTGGAATGGCAGAACTTGGCTTTGGGTCTCAACCTTGTCAATCACTGGTTCAGTGATGTGAGAGAGCCATCTTCTACTTTAGGATGTTCACTCATCATAAGGTGGATACAACCAGCTCTCAACTAATAGTGAATACTCCAAGGAGATAATGCGGATGAAAACACTTTGGACAACTATTAAAATCTGACAAGTACTGGTTACCTTTATTTAACTTTTTATTCTCTCAAGCAATCTATCTACCCATCTAGCATAGCCTACTCTACTTCCATATAAACTTCCAATCCCTACACCACCTCTAGCCAAGTTTACTGCTCTTAAGGTCAGTTGGGCTGGAGAAAGACTAGCAAAGAACCAGATCTTCGGCTTCACTGACCACACCCCCCACATATGGTCAAGGCTGCAGCTAGATGCTGGGGCACTGACAATTGGGATCTCATGATGTGGCCATGTCCCAGTGAAATATCCACTGTGGCTGTCATTCACCTTTGAAAGGCCAAGTGTACTTAGAAGACTTTAGCTCTTAAACAGCATAGCAAGGGAACTGAATGGAAGAGTGGAATTTAAGGGTTTGTATAGGAAACTGCCTAAAGAAATTCATAGTTCACACAAATTAGTTAAATGCTTTCAAAAGGATTAAGGGACAAAGTGCTTTTTAACTGAACCTAACACAAGGCTTTTCCTGGCATGCCAGCTACTATGAACTTTATCAACCCTTCCACAATAAAACTTGGTAATGCTCTTCAAAACCACTCTAGGAACTTATTAGACCTTTTGGTAGAAAAGTCAATCAATAATCCAGTTTTTTGAGGCATGGTCTCTCTACATATCCCAAGATGAAATAAAGTCTATTGTACATCTGCTTTTGCCTCTGAATTGCTAGAGTTACAGGTGTACTTACAAAGAATCCAAGTGTTTTTATTTGGGGTTATACCTCTCTATGTAATAGCTTTTCAATTTACCTGATGTAGTTCCAACTGCATCACATACATTAACTCGATTTGGCAATGAACTCCATAAATATGTACAATCTCATTTTTATAGCCAAAGAACCTGAGGCATAGGGAGATTAAGTGACTTTCCCAAGGTCACATTGTCAATAAGAAGATAAATTTAGAACTGAATCAAATGATTTGGCCCTAAAATCACTTTAAGACATCTGTGAAAGAAAAATAACAGGGTTTTGGTACAAATGAAATAACTAATTTTTTTTTGGTTTTACGAGACAGGGTTTCTCTGTATTGTTTTGGAGGCTGTTGGTCCAGCCCGGCCTCGAACTCACAGAGGCCTGTCTCTGCCTCCCGAGTTCTGGGATTAAAGGCGTGTGCCACCACTGCCCGGCTGAAATAACTAATTTTTAAATCTTCCCATGGAATTATTTTATTTGATAGAGAGTACTTGTAATATCCAGTTCCTAAGTTGTTTAGATCTAATTATATGACATATATATGAGAGTGTTCTGCAAAGGTAAACTCACTAGGGAAGAATATAGTCTTCTTCCATCAATCAATGGTGAATGAAGTACCACTGTATGGTATAGGAATTTCCTCCAATGGAAACACTCTCTCCTGAAGGGAGGAGGGAAACTCATTAAGACTCAGGAAGTAAACCTAACCAGTCCAGGAAGTTCTTGAAACTTAAAATATTCACACGACACTCCCCAGAGTTTCATAAACACTAGCAGCTCATGGTGAGGAGAGACATTTCCATCTGTGTTGCCTGTAAGTCTCATGTAGGGAGCTTCATGGATGAGACTTTTTTGAGCCCTCCCATGCTGGACTAGAATTGTCAGTGATGAAGCTGTCTTTGAGTCACCCATGCTCCTGTAAGTAACCACACCCATATTCCTATAGGTAGCCCCAGTATGCTCACTGGTTCATGTGGCTAGACTTAGGTATGATTATTTCTTTGGTCTGTCATTGGTGCCCTATCTTGGGTGTACTGATGTTCGTTCTCATCTCCCCAAGAAAAGTCACAAAACACAAAGGTGACACCTCCTTTCTGCCTTGGAGCTCAGACTCTTCAAACATGACATATTTTGTATGTGTGTATATATATATTATTTTAAAACCTTTGCATTGACCTGTATATATGCCTTCTCTGATTAGTGAAATATCTGTATTTCCTGTATTTTGGGGACAGGGTACCCTGTTTGGGGGGCACTGTTTTATAGGCAGAACAGTATTCTAAAATTGGTCATGAGTGAGATTTAAAAGTCTCCTACTCCTGGAAGGCAATTGCTAACTGGAATTATCTTTTTCCTGCTGAACATACTGGGTGTGGAAAGAAGGGTGATCGTGCTTATGTGAGTGATCTTCCCTTCCACTTTCTGTCAGCATATGATAGGGGCATTGGTAGGTGAGGCAAGAACTCACTCTGGCACCCTATGGGGATCTAAGCAGCTCATGTTCTGCTTCACACTTGGTTTCTTGCTTTCATTACCTTTGCTGTACTTTGCTGTATGCAACCTGTATTAATTAGTCAGGGTTCTCTAGAGGAAGATAACTGATCACACACACACACACACACACACACACACACACACACACACCATATTGGTTTATGCATTTTAAGATTTGGGGATTTTAAGATTTCTATCTCAAAAGATGCAGATTTATGGTGGGTTTTCTTATTTCAAATGATTTAATTAAGAAAAATCCTTCAGAGGGATACCCTCCCATTTGGATATTAGTTAATTCTAGATGTAGTCAAGGTCACAATCAATAATAGCCATCACATGACCCCATCATAACAATTGTGGAATTGTATTTTGTGTTTGCACGTCTCCTCAACTCTCTAGTCTTAGAATTTCTCCTGGAAATGGTGTGGGTTTTTTTTTTCTTCTTCTCATCCCCACAATCCGGCATAGTTTAGCTCAGGGTAGAAATACATCCAAATTGGTCTTTCTTTTAGTGATAACCTTGAGTATTTAATCTTAATTCCACACACACATTTATTTTTCTGCTTGATGTTGAAAGAAAAACAAAGCAAGCTGTTAAGTTTTGTACCTTGCTAAACTACTCACTACTCACCCCCATTCTGCCTCTTCCTTGTTTATCCCTTTCAAATTTCTTAAGTCAAAGAATCTTGTGAGATTCTTATTCCTGTCAATGAATCAACTAAGGTAAAAATTCCAAGTGTCACAGTCTCTCTAGGGAAATAAAAAGAGTGATCTCGAGTGCTGAACTGGGTGAAAAAGTGCTCTCCCATTCTAAGAATCAATTTTCCTCCTAGTTTTACTTTGAACATAATTACTTTTGTTTTATTTTATAAATTGTTTAAATTGTAAAATTCATACTCAAACATGTACTTTGGTAAATAACCCTTCCTCCTGTACTAGCAGCCTGAGGAGATTAGAGCACAGAACCCTCATCAAACAGAAAGAATCTGTAGTCAAACTCCAGAGAGGCTGTTTTCTCACTCAGCTGGAAGACCTCAAAGGCACCTGGCTTCTTGCCCCTCCCCACCAAGTTCCTTTTACTATTAGTCCAATTGTAGGGAGCAATTTGAGTCTCTCTAGTAAATTCCCCTTTTTTGTTTCTATGTAGAAAATCAAGTTTTGATGTCCAGTTTCCTAATGAGTGCATCCACAGACGTTCTCAAGTCCCCCAAGACATGCTCCTGGAAGCCACAGAGTTGAGGTTTGAACCTAATTTATTTGTATTGATTTTTGGTTTATCTCTTACATGATACTTAAGACCAACTAAAAACACATTAATCATGTCATCTTTGAGAGCAGAAATAGGTGTAAACTGAACATTACTTCATAACTGCCTTGGGAATATGAAGTACAGAGACATGGGCCTTCACTAGATCTCACTGTTAGAAGATTACCATAGTAATCTTCCCAACATACCAGAGGTGTTTCCAGGCTCTTTACCTACATTGCCTCAACACTCACAATACCCTCTTTGTTAGATCACAAAACATGCCCCAAAGTGGCAGCGCTGATGGCAGTGACTCAGCACCCACTTGAACTAGGTTTTGCTAGAAGAGAGAATCCTAAAGTATTTCTCAGAAGCCCTTAATGGTTGGCTGAACAGTCATGACTACAGCTGTCAGCCTCTCCTCTCCTGACAGAGTCCAAGTGCTAACCAGCCACTGGCTGTTGCAACTTGTGAGCAGCCCCCTACCCCCATCTACCCATATGAAACTCAACAAGCTTTTGAAGCAACATTCCATGTGCGGTCCTCTGCTGTCCATGGCATCTGGGTAGTTTCTTTTTATTTTATGAAACTGTTCTTTCTTTCTACAGAGAATGACTGTGTTCAGTGGTCTCCTGATGTACCTGCTTATACTCCTGAGTTCTTTTAGTGTTTTTCTTCAGTAGATAAAGAAGCTCAGACACTAAGAACCTGTCAGTCACACTGCAGATCCTTAGGAATGACCCAGAAATAGTATCATGGCTCAGGAGTGAAGCAGATTTTTTAAATGTAATCCAAACAAGAGTGGCATTTGGTGTTCCAGTGTTCTCTGTATGTGAATGTGTGTTTGTGTGTATGGTATATGTAAGGGGGTAGTATCTGGTCAGAGGTCCAGATGGGCAGGTCCATGTAGCCCTGTGTGTAGGTAAGAAGCAGTAATATGATGGTCATTCATGCAGAGCCCCTACTCCACAGTTGGAACTGGGAGCTAGGATCCCTTTTTCTCTCTATCCACGGACCAAGAACAGCAGGATGTCACAAGCCTGGATAGCAGATGCATGCCTGGATTTGAGTCACAGCCTGAAAAATTATTCACATATAACTTTGCACACATTCCTTACAAACTCTGTGTCTGGTTTCTTAATTGTAAGTTAATTATCATCACCTTATAGATTTGAGGACCTTGATATTAAACATGAACACTGTGTGGTGCCCCATCTGGCAGATTTCAGGTCCTTAGCAACAGATAGTTGTTTTTATCAGTAACAGCACAACTAAGTGATAAGACTAAGTCTCCCATTTCCAAACTCTGCCCTCCAGGCCATCCTCTACCATCTGCCCTCCACTTGCTGACCTGCCTCATCACACAACCTCACAATCTCCCTACCCATTCAAGGATACCCTGCCTTTCCTATCCATCCTCATTTCACATATCCTATTGCTGCAACAGTAGTAGGAAATATGGGGAAATAGTAACTTTGTTATTCATTTAGCTAGAGCTAGAATTTCCTGGAACCTTCTCATGGTTTGGGTTCTGCTGAAGCAGCTGCACACATCTCCTCTTGATCCCCATAGTAGCTCCATCAACCAGGCCTATTCTCTCTGCTTTCCAACTCAGGACATAGATGTTCAGAGAGATTAAGGACCTCGTCCAAGATCATCCAGTCTATTAGTAGTGAATCTAGTATTTGATTCAAAGCCCAGTGTTTCTATGAGCACTTGAGAAGAATATGACCAAGTGCAGATGTTTGGTTTCCAGACAGAAGAAAAATAAACCACTACAAACAAGTTGCCCTCTTTAGGAGAATTTAGGATTTTTCATTAAGCTTTTGAAAGTCAACCCAAGATAAATACCACCACCATTTGTAACCACTGTAGGGACAATTAAGTGTATATTTTTCAATCTTGAAGCTTCCCTTAATTAATTTGGGGGGATAGGTCAAATGTGTCTAATGCTCTAGCCTCCCTGGTACTGCCCTGCAGAGTTAAGACTCTCTTCTCTCTATGCTGTGGAAAATGCAGACTGCCAACATCCCTCCGGAGTCCATTCTTTTTAGCTTGTGTACTAAGCTGGTGCATCATTTAACACCAAGCTTACTCAGAGTATGTCCGTCTCTTCATTTCTCCGTGGTGGTTGTGCACCCATTTTCACTGAGCAGCATAGGCTGCCCAGAGCCTTTGTCCAATGAGACCAGGAACTTAGTCTGATTCTTTTTATACCTTTAGACTCTGAAATATAAAGGTAAATGACCAGACAAAAGTCTCCATGCTCTGAGGTGGCTGATCTGGGGCTCTTGTGTTAACATATCCTCTACTCTAGAGAACTGCTGACATTATTACCTAGATAATAGGAGCATTCGACAAACAATTGTCCCCTAGAACCTTTCCCTGAGGAATGCCCTCGCTTGTTCTTGGGATGATGAGTAATGAATTCTGCAAAGAAAAGCCAGGCTTCTTAGGCTTTGATTGGTAGATAGTTGAAAAGCCCTAACAATTGCTCTGCTTTTTAACCTAAGACAACCCCCATGCTGTAAATGAGATGAGTTATTACTGCTAAAAGATGCAGTTGCAGTCCAGGGAAGATACAAGTTTTGGTCCATGAATGACCTCTCATTCTGATTGATGGGCTTCAACCTGCGTGAGTGGCCCAGTGACTATGAGTGAGGCTTCATATCTTCATAAATGAACCTGGAGATTTTGGATTAAGAAAAAAACCAAACTGATCCAAGTAGTAAAGCAAGCAAAGTATCGGACTAAAAATGGCAAAAATAATGGAGAAACTGATAGTAGAAGGTAAAGAGAAGGCAGCAATGTGGATAGAGGGCAAGAGTATTAAGTAGCATTAGAAGGGTCTACATATCTTGAAGTGATTGACAACATGCTCCCAAAGATGTGGTTGCTTACTGGCTTATCCATCTTCCTCAGACTTGAGTGAACTTTATTATATGCCAGAGTGGCTTCTGTGACTGGATTTGTGAGTCAAAATAGAGAAACAGATCAAGTTCCAGTCTCTGGAGCCCATCAGCTTCCTGTTCCTTCAAGGCCTGAGTCCTTCTGCCCTGCAAATGCCTGACTTTCCCCACCCAACCTTAACCAAAGCCCCTTAGCTGTTGCCTGGGCTCATTCCCACATCAGGCTTTCTTTTCTCCCTCCAGAATCTTTCTGGCTTTGTGTAGTCAAACAGTCTTTGCTGAATCCATCATTTCACCTAGCTCCTGCTGTGAACACTTAGAGTAAACCTGGCCACACACAAGTGACCAGTCTGAGGTCACACAAGTAGGGCTTAAATTCAACCTTGTATCTGTGCTGACTCATGGTGCAGTGTGTACTCGTGGCTGGGGCTGTGATTCTATTGTAATGGGCATCTGTGATAGATCAGTTATTTTCAACCTCCCTAATGCTGTGACCCTATAACACAGTTCCTCATGGTGTTGTGACACCCCCCCCCATCCACAAGTTTATTTTCATTGCTACTTCATAACTGTAATTTTACTACTCTTATGAACTGTAACATAAATATCTGTGTTTTCTGATGGTTTTAAGGTAACTCCAGTGAAAGGGTTGTTCAATTACAAAGGGGTTGGTGACTCACAGTTTGAGAACTGCTGGTCTAGTCAGATCATGGTAGTTTTCCTCAGACATGTTGTATAAGACATAAGAAAGGTGGAATTTGCCCACCTGGTTTTAGGGTGTTCCTCCCATCATCTGAAATCTGAAGTTACCAGGGCCTGACCAGGGATGCAGATGCTTTTAGAAGGTACACTAAAGGATACTGAGGAAATTTATAGCAAGAAACCTCTGGGAAAAAAACAGTAAGAATATGCTGTTTGGGAGCTATGTAGGAGCTGAACTGCCTCTGACTTGACATAATGCATATCCTCTCATGGACTTTCTCCTTGAAATCATGAGCCCACTAAGCATGCCAGGGTCTAAGAGCTGAGGAGAGATTCTTTGGAGACGAGAGAGAGAGAGATTTTGCCTCTGACTAGGGATATAGAGGATCTGGGAAGGAAAAGGAGATTGCAGGTTTTATGAGCCACTATGATGGTGGTAGGGCCTCTGGAAAGGGGTACCAGGAACCAACTGGAGGCCAGCATCTTCTCTGAAGACTCCTGGTCTATGTCTGCATTCCAAGAAAGGCCAGCAGCAATGGCAATGGAAGCAGAGGGACTCTTCACCCAAATTTCATGCCCTGTAAGTAGAGAACAGCCCCAGAAAGTGTGGGGTAGGGAGGGCTTTAGAATTCCAAGTTCCTTTCTCTCAGAAATGAGTGCTTGCATTGAGTTTGAAATTTAAATGCATGAGGAGATGACCATTGGTGTTATTGCTTCCTATTACCTTCTCCTGCTCACTTCAGTCAAGGGTCTATATGTACTCTCTTGGGGTTAAACCCACACTGTGTTGTACACTTGTTTTTCAATCTTGGAAAATAACAACCCCTCCAGGCCTCAACTTCCTCATCTGCAAAGTTTTGACAATGAGTGCCTGTATTTTACAAAATAGAAGATGGTGTCCAGTAGGAATTACACATGAAGAACACAGAAAATGCCTGGACCATAGTGGTGTCTGTTGGTTGTAGTTACATGCTGTTTTAGAAGAATATTTTGCAAGGCCCACATTTCCAAGAGTCCTGCAGTACTAGAGAGTGTCTAATTGAGACTGCTTTAATGATTCCTTTGAGTTCTGGTAGTAATCCTCCACCATGGTTCCCAATGGAGCCTCCTTGAGTTCTCATTGCAGACCTTGAGACTCTTCCCGAGGTCTGTCTACCAGGAGGCTGACCCCTCCATTGTGCTTGCCCTCATGATTTCAATGTTTGAATTTTCTTTAACTGTTTTAGATGTGCCTTGTCTTAATATTGACTTGATCTTCACTCATATTGACCCCTGTGCCCTGGTCACAATTAGCTCTCTTCCAGTACATGTGGCCAACCTCGCTCACCCTCCACGTCTTAGCCTAGAAATCATCTACCCAGGGAAGATTCTATATTCCTCATC